CTTTGGACAGCCATACTGTACTCACTGTTTCTCAACCTTGGCAGCTTTAAGATGTGTGGACCCCAACTCCCAGAATGCTCCAGCCAATATGCTGCCTGGGGGATGCTGGGAGTTGAAGTCCGCAGGTCTTAAAAGCGGCCATGGTTGGACACCCCTGCTTTATACTTATGGATGCCTCAGAAAACCCTGATCTGCAATGGCCCCCCAAGACTGCAATGCCTTCTGTTAGGATGCTTCCAGAAGCTTCTCCATTCAGAGAAGGTCCAGGGGCCTCTCCTGGTGCCCCTTTGCTGGAACTGGTGCAGGGGCCAGTTTCAGAAGACTCAACCCCAAAGGAGTCCCTGGTCCACGTGAACCAACGTACGAAGGACGGTTGCAGGAACTGGGCATAGCCGGTCTAGAGAAAAGAAGGATTAAGGGGGACAGGACGGCAGTATTCCAATATTTGAGGGGCTGCCACGAAGAAGAGGAGGGGGTCAACTTGGTTTCCAAAGCACCGGAAGGCAGGACAAGAAGCAACGGATGGAAACTAGTCAAGGAGAGAAGCAGCAGCCTGGAACTAAGGAGAAACTTCCTAACAGTGAGGACAATTAACCAGTGGAACAGCTTGCCACCAGAAGTTGTGGGTGCTTCATCACTGGAGGTTTTTAAGAAGAGACTAGACAGTCACTTGTCTGAAATGATCTAGAACAGTGATGGCGAACCTTTTAGAGACCCAGTGCCCAAACTGCAACCCAAAACCCACTTATGCATTGTCGGGTGCCGGGTGGGCGTGGCCCATTGGGTGGGCGTGGCTGCGGTGGTAATGGCAGACTGGGTGGGACTAAAAAGTTCAATCAATCAATTCCAACTTTGCAATGTCTGTTTTTTTCCCGTGAGAAATTGAAACTGACTGATTGATTGAAACTTTTTTTATTTTTTGCACACGGCGGCGGAGGCCTAAAGCGAAAAGGTTTTATAAAACCCAGCTGAAGGCCTAGGACTGGGGCGATGGCGCGCGTGCCCATAGAGAGGGCTCTGTGTGCCGCCTCTGGCACCTGTGCCATAGGTTCCCCACCACGGGACTAGACAGTCACTTGTCTGAAATGATATAGGGACTCCTGCTTGAGCAGGGGGCTGGACTAGGAGACCCCCACGGTCCCATCCAACTCTGTCATTCTGTTATTATTCTGGTTTTTTGAGTGGTGTCCCCTGGCCCAGTTGGCTAGAACCAGCTATTTAGAACTGGACTCTCTTGCTTGGCACAGCCGTGTGCCAGCGGGGGCAGCTGGCACCCAGGAGATCCCAAAAGCAGAGAGGGGGAACTGCAGTGCAGATGGACTTTGGGAAGGAGCCCAGTGCTGGGTCATCTGTCCTGCAGTCCCGCCAGCTTTGTGAGGTCAGCCTTTTGGATGCCAGGAACCTTCCTGGCTCACGAGGGCACTCCTGGCACGGTTCTCCTTCCCCGGGGTTGATAATGATCCCTCCGAGACGCAGAACCTGCTTGGATGTCACCACCAGGCTCCATCAACCTCCGGGAGACTGAAGCCGTTTTTCCCCAGGGAAGATGCCCCCAGGAGCCGCCCTCCCTCAGAGGGGCTGCTGACAGCCGGATGTGGGGGTCCTCTGAATTGGAACGGATCTTTCCTGCAAATGCCCTTGAGGAACCTTCATGATCGGACAAGCGGAATGCTTGGGGAACAGGAAGGAGGACAGGATAGCAGCCTTCCAGTATCTCAGGGGCTGCCCCAAAGAAGAGGCAGTCAAGCTATTCTCCAAAGCGCCTGAAGGCAAAAACAAGAAGCAACGGATGGAAACTGATCAAGGAGAGAAGCAACCAGGAACTAAGGAGAAACTTCCTGACAGTTAGAACAATTAACCAGTGGAACCACCTGCCTCCAGAAGTTGTAAATGCTCCAACACTGGAAGTCTTTAAGAAGAGACTGGACAGCCATTTGTCCGAAATGGTATAGGGGTTCCTGCCTGAGCAGGGGGTTGGACTAGATGACCTCCAAGATCCCTTCCAACTTTATTATTATTATTATTATTATTATTATTATTATTATTATTATTATTATTATTATTATTATTATTATTATTATTATTATTATTATTATTATCATTATCATTATTACTATTAAACACGGCAGTCTTCTGCACGGGGGTCTCCAAACATGGCCCCTTTAAGACTTGTGGACTTCAACTCCCCCAGAATTTTGGGTGTTGGGGTCCATAAGTCTTGAACTGGCCAAGGGTGGACATCCCTGGTCTAAAGCAACATTTTTCATTCATTCTGGCTGGGGAATTCTGGGAGTTGAAGTCCACAAGTCTTAAAGGGGCCTCGTTTGGAAATCTCTCTGGAGGCCGCGTGGAGACCTACAGCCTTCCCACCACCGTAGGAAGCCAGAAGACCCCAACAGAAGGCGTCTCCAGGGGGGAGGAGATGACCGCTGCCTCCCACCCCAGAGGGTCCCTCCTCTCCAGTATCCTCAGCCTTTCCATCCAAGGACCCAGAATCGCCCCCGAAACACTCGGATCTCTTCGTCCTGGCCCGTTTCCAAGCAGTCTGTCCCACCACCAGCCGCCACCTATCCGAAGCCGAAGCTGCCAGGCCCGCCGGGCTGTTGAGACCACAATGTCCCCTCTGTGCTGCAAAGTGGCTGCCCAGAGTGCTTCTTCGGCCTGGCGGGCGGCCAGCTTTGGCGGCCCAAGAAACACGCAGCTGGCGTCTGCCGCCGAGGGGTGCCAAGGGGCAGCGAGCCAGGCATCAGCCCCCCCCTCTCCCCGCACGGGGATGGCAGTGGCTACTCACCAGCATGACCACACACCAGTTCAAGATGCCTCGGTAGTTGCTGAAGCCACTGGCCGAGCTGAGCAGAGAGTCCTGCACCTTGTGACACCTGGGGGGGGGGGG